AACAGCCCTCATCTGCTCTTTTGGCAGAAAGTCCTGGAGCAGAAGGAGGATTTGGAGCCGGTCCCCGCTGCCCCCGCGGAACGCCAGCCGCTCTTGCCTCGCCCAGGTCAGGACGAGCAGTTTCACGGTCGCTTTGGCGCGGGGCGGAGGGGCTCTCTGCGGGGAAAAGGGGGGGAACGGGAGGGCTGGGAGCCCGGTCGTGTGCGGCAGAGGAGGCACAAGCGTACAAAGGAAGCGATGGGGACATCCTCCATGGAGGCTCCGGCGGCTTTTTCCCCCGCCGGGAAGGGGCGGCCGGCGCCGGGACGTGGGGGGGGGGACTCGGTCGCTCGTCGCGCCGGCTGAAAACTGGTGGCACTTCGAGTGGGAAAGGGAAAAAAAACCCCAAACAAACCGCAAAGGTTTCTGTGCCGTTCGTAGAGGTGTTCTTGGGGAGGGTGGAGAGGAGGATCGGTACTTTCTGCGAGGAATTTTAAGGTGAATTGTGGAAGATGTTTTGGGGGAAAAGCAACACAAAAAAGTGGTAAGCGAACCCCCTCCGTCAGAAGGCGTGTGGGGTGTTACAGGGCATTTACCAAAAGGTGAGGGAATACAGTTTTCCCAGATCGGTTATTCTGAAGTTCCAGTTGAGTGTTAGTGGCGTGCCTCTGGAAAGGATTTAAATTAAAAAACCAAAACCAAACCAAACCAAAACAAAAAACACCAAAACCAAACAAAAAGCTTCCCCAAGTAATATTTTATCTTATGAAGATAATTCCGTTTGAACAATTCCTTGCATGGGATGCTAAAGATGAGGCTTTTTTTTAGAAGGGGGAAGGAGTGTAACTCAACGTATTTTAAGGACTTCTGTAAAGTACTTTATGGTGAATGGTCATATATAAGTTTAAAAAAAAAAAAAAGCAAACCCAAACTAACCGCAAGTAGTCTACCAATTTTTTTTGTTTTGTTTTTGTTTAACCTGGGGTTACGCTCTTGTTACTTTCTAACCTTAAGGGTTGAGTTCTGCCAATCCTCTACAAATAAACAACAATGCAAAATACTTTTCAAGTGCAGGGGACTGGGTGGGAGGGAAGGACATTTGAGGGTTGGGGGTTTGGTTTTTTTCTTGTTTCCTACTGCTCAGAACAGATCGGCTTCTCCTAGACTTGATCGCACTGTCTCTGTGCACAGTGAGTGGAGCATTCGTTCACCTGTCCGTCCATCTGTCTGGGTGGATGTAAGAGGTTTTATTGTTCTCCTCCTCCAGAAGGAAGCGGGCAGCAGGACAGGGCATAGAGTAACGGGGAGGAGCGAGAGGAACAGAACGAGGGGGAAAGCAGACTGGGCATAAAACAAGTGCTAGGGCCGGGTTGAAGCTGCTCTACTGTCACCTGTGCGGTTAAAACCTTTTGGTCTTGGTAGCTTTTTCTCATGACAGGCAAGAGCCTGGATCATGCTGTAATGAATACAGAGGGGCTTCTTTATTAGGGCTGTTGGATGCTGAGGGACTCGGTGGTTTTCTTTGGAACCGGGGTTGGCAGAGCAAAGGGCAGCCAGCCAGTGGGTGCAGTCACCTTACGGGGTTTTCCTAAATCCCGGTCTGGATGGCTCCCTCAAACTCGAGCATGCGACCAAGTCCATCATCTCTGAACTGGACTATCTGCTCATTGTTCATATCCTCCCCGAGGTGATCTTGGGAGCAATTAGCGTGCATGAGAGTGGGTGTTAGGAATTACTCCACTGTCTTGGTTCCTGCTACGTCTTTTGGATTTTTTTAATTAATTTTACTGATGGCTTTGAAGTATTTTCGGTTATTACTGTGGTGAGTGTTTTAATGTTGGTGTATTACAGAACATCTGTGGGAAAATGGTATGAAAATACTGCCAAGCTCTGAGGAGAAAAAGGGCTCCATGGCACCAAATCTTGCTTGTGGTTTAAAATAAAATCACAGTTGCTGTTGGTTTTCTTACTCGCGTATTTGTTTCACAGAACTCGAATATAGTAAGTAGAGTTTTGAGAAGGGTGCTGAGAAGTGTCATTCCCAATAGATGCTGCTTGCATCTGTTTGGAGTGATGTTGTACTCATCGACAGCTTTCCTTCCTTAGTATTATGTGTCTTTTTCGGATTGTAACTTTCAGCTCTTGGTTCCGTCACAACCTAACTCAAGGGGTGGGTCCACAAAGACTTAGGCTGGCGCTGCTGTAGGCAGAACCTTGTCCGCACAGCTTCAAACTGTCCATTTTCCTACTAAGTAGTCGCACCTCTTTCCTTTGTCGCTGCCATGGGTATCGGCACTGCCGTTTACTGACCTGGGCCAGGGGGTGATCCAGGTGAAAAGTAACACTTTCTTTTTTAGCAAGTTGGTTTTCAGCCACATCTGTTCTCCAGTCCGGTTAATCATATGGTCACATAAATGCTGGTGTGTCTGGAGAAGGGGGTGCAATGACTGGAGGGGGGGGCAATGGGCGAAGAATGGGGATATTTTCTTAGCAACATTGCCATCTTTTCCCACCTTAAGTAGTTCCTTGGACCGTGTCTACAGTTGCTCCTGTGCGGGCGAAATGATTTTCTGTCTTACCTGGCCACAACTGTATCTTAAGAAAGCAAAAATTCAGTATTACCTTTTTCTAAAGATCTGTTATACTTTCCCTATAGCTCAGGTTTGTCCTATGTTCATTTGTTGCCTTTTTTATTTTTTTCTTCCAATAAATGCTATGTAATGGATCTTCCAGTAATTTTCTTGGGCAACTTTTCCATCACCCAATGTACTTTAAGATCAGAAGTTTTCTTACTCTACTGCAACAGTTTTTGCCTTGGTGTGTATTTCTGTGAAATGATTGCTTATTCTCTCTCTCTCTGCATTTGCACCTTCTAAGTTCTTACAAGCTACTAATGAGGCTAAACTTTTAATATTTTTCTATTATTCTAGGTCTAATGGTTGTTTTTTATATTCTTCTTTTCACTTTCTTCAATTTATTTGTGTTCCTTTTGCAGAATGAGATCTGATATTCCACGTGTTGGAGGTGATTCATCTCCCTTTGTTGCCTGAAGTGATAATCTGAGCACAGGCAGGCAAAAGTTACATTGGTCATTTTGTAGAAGCATTTGCTTTGCAGACAACTCTCTCATTTGTTCAGCGTTCTCACTCTTGCATGTCTTTCGCTCCTAGTTCTGGCAGGGCTTTTTCCTTGATTTACCTCTGGTTTTTTTCATTGTTGTTTCTTCAGTTTCTTTGCGTTACTTTTTCCACATAGTCTTATTTGTCCCCCCTTGCTTCTCTTGTTTGTTTTTGAGCTGTCTGAATCCCTTCGAGTTGTTTCTATTCACTGGTGTTTGTAAACTTCATTCTGTATCACCTGCAGGTTTCATTAACATTCCCTTTATTCAGTCTTAGATCTCGAATTAAGATGTCAAAGAAAACTGGTCTGGCAAAGGTCCCTGCATCAACGCAGTAGATGCCCCCTGTACCTGTTGGTTCCATTGGTATATATCATTACACTTTGTTTTGAAGCCGTTAGCCAATTTTCTAATAACATGAGCAGTACTCTCCAAAGCCAATTTGCAGTAATTTTTCAGCTATGATTTCCTTGGAGAGTAGCAAATGCTATTCTAAATCTAAACCTATTACATCATGCGGTGTATTCTTTTCATTCCCTAACTTCATGGCAATTCTATCCTCCTTTGAAGAGTAATCAAGTTTATCAAGATTTACAGTAGCGTATGCTCTTCTCTCCCCAACTTCTGCATTATGCCCATCACCATGCTAAATAAATGCCCAGCGTGTTCCTTTGTAGAGCCTTGTAAAAAGTCAGGAATTTGCATGCATGGAGCTTGTTACAAGAGCTGAGACTAGATGATTAGAAAGAGTTCTCTGGGGTTTGGAGGTGGTATTTTGGGTTCTTGGGGGGGTTATTTGGTGGGTTTTTGTTGTTTGTTGTTGTTCCTGCCCCTTGGGTCCTCCTTTTTCTGGAGATGATGCAGTCACTCCCCTTTGTTTTTAACACCACATGAATTAGATGTTTTCCTGCTAGGGAGGGGCACGTTTTCCAGTTCCCGGTGCCACTGGCTGAGTCACTGGCTCTTTTTTTCTGTTCCGTTGTAGGTTTATAATTACCTTGTTCTTACCTTCGTTAGAATATGATTGCCAAAGGGTAGGTGTTTTACTTTGCTGTACTTCTGAGACCTGAGTGCCAGTGGCTTTCAGAGCCTGGGTACAAGCCTTTGAAGCATCTGCTTTGCTATTGCCAAAGAGAAAATAAATTAGCATAGTCCTCAAAGTGCCGCCCTTCAAACTGTATGGTTACCATTAATGACAGATGTCCAGGCAAAGTCTAGTGTCTTGTAACCAGGACTGCGTTAACTGAAGGAGGAAAAGTCAGGAGAGCACTGAGCATGTGTATATTGAAATGGAAAGGGGGGGTTTGCTGATGTGTCTTATGTTCATTTTACCTGAACCTACTTCTCCCTAGCAGGTCCTTGAAATAAAGCTTGCTGATACCAGACTAGCAGGATTTAGAGAGGTTCTCTTGGTTTGAAAATCTTGTCAGCTTAGGGGAAAAAAAGAGAGAGGTGTGAAAGAGAGGTTTGCATAAGAAGATCTTCTCCAAGTACACTCACTGTGCCTTTGATGTATCTTTATAAAAATAAATAAATAAAATCCTATTTAATTCCCCGCCCCCATTTGTTTGTGAAGGGTCTATGCGAACAGAAGAAAATAACTCTGCAGGGGAAACGATGTAAATCGCTGTTTCCATCCACGCAGTAAGCTAACTGAAAAATAGAGAAGCAGCATCTTTTCCCACTGTTTTTGGTCACAGGTTTTATTTGTAAGAACACATTTTAAAAACTGGAGTCAAGTCTGTGGTTGGCTGTGTCCCTTTAAGAATCTAGTTTTGCTTGGCTAGCTGCCCTTGTTCTCCTGTAGATTAATCCAGCAGAAGGTATATAACCTGTTGACCTTCCTGGCGAGAAGGGTCTGGAAGGGCAAAGAGATAAATCAGAAGGTTTGTGCTTTCCTGTAATATCTGGGGGCAAGTTTAACCTGTGTTTTTCAGGTTTTTGGCATTTCTTTTTTCTCTTTTTTTTTTTGCTTAGCGATTCCTGCTTGAGGGCTGGGGTTGTACTTA